ACAAACAGAATGCCAGGATTGTCATTATGCAAACTATATTCCTAAGTTTCTCCTCCAAGAAGTTGAAGGTAAATCCTTCCCTAGTTTTTCCTCCTCTTTCTATAGATGGCAAAACAAGCAATATATTTCCAACTGATTTTGGAAAACAAGAAAAAGAACTGGAGCTTTCTGGGAGCTGGAGCTCTCTGAATTACAATCCAGAATCTTTACTCTGATCCAGTAAGTTCATTTTATTCTGCAATTGTCCAGGATTCCCAACAAAGTCAGCAGGACCTCATTATAGAGAAGAATGGCAAAGTCAAGCTCATATTTAATACTGTTGGGAATTTAGCTGCTAGAAAATGGAAAAGTACAAAACCATGGCTAATTCCAAGTCCGGCATCTGCAAGATAACCGTGTCCTTGGGCCTAGCTGTGGTAGGATAACAAACAGCAAAAGAGGCATGAGAAAAGAGACATGTAACCCCCCTAAGGAATGAGGAAGAGTTGATGGTATAGTTTAACCAATAGATTGCTTAGCTTACAGAATATTCATAAGCTTATTACTTGCTGTATAAGCGTCTGATGCTCTCTTCAATAAACGGAATTTGCTTATCACTCATATTGAGTGTCCGAGTCTCCCCTCACCGACAAATGGCTCAGCCCCGACAAAGGCCCACATTTTTTCTCTGTGACATAATACCTGTTGTCTGTGTGTTTACAGACTCAGTGCAGTGATGGGAAAGTTTAATGCTCCACCTGGGAGCCCATCACCTGCCTGCCCTGACACCCAGAGCCAGACATGGATGCAATTCTTGCCACAGCAACAGGGAGGGCTGTGCTTGCCTTAGGTCAGAGTTTGACATCTGGAAATGCCTTTCAGATTTTACCTGAGTTTGCACTGAAGCTTATAACCCTTATTTTACCTTAATAATCTTGAAAGAACCCAGCCATAAGAAATACTGAGCTCTGGCAATATCAATAATTTACTCTTTACCTCATGTAAACAATGCTGCCATTTGCAGCATGAACTTCAACAAACCCAAAATCCATTTCCTCCTCTTCCCCAAAACAGAGACAGTATCAGCACAATGAGACATCTGGAGCTAAACCATCTCCAACAACTTGCACAAGAACTGTACTTCAATTTAAGAAGTCTAACACTTTCCACAAGCAGGTTTTGCTGGTGGTCACCACAGGCAAAGTACAGTCAGTGATTTCATTTCAGGTACACTACCCAAAAAACCCCAAATAACCAGCAATAACACAGGCTGGGAAAGTCTCCCTGAAACTGATGCTGATTTTCTGCATAGATAGTAAATTATGGTAAAAAAATGAGGCAGCACACAAGTGAATGGCATAATGTCTTTCAGCAAGGCATATTTTTATTACTGTGCTACAGGACAGGGTGTCTGAATTCAGAGTTCATCATGGTCAAAAATATAGTGACCCACACAAGTTCATTGTTAAAGACTGGCTTGCCACCTAACACTTATGTCAGTAAGGAGGAACAAGGAAAAAGGAACTTCCAATGAAGGTTAAAGATTTGCTTATTTTTTATCCTAATCTATTAATTAATAAGAGACAACTTTCTAGAATTAAAAGACCCTTAACAACTCTTGAAGGACATAAAGAGCAAGCAACCCTTGCAGCAGAGCAACTCTGGTGTGCTATTCAGGCCAATGCTGGCTCTTATGATGGCTCTTTTATTTCCATATAAATGCTTGTTGCTTGACAATTTAGATAAAAATGTAACTGCTGCTCTGCATGCGCTGGAGGCTGAAGGTGTAAAACCACTGGACTAACTAATGGAGTCTTCACACATCATATCTTGTTAAAGAAGAGGTAACCCATCCTCAAATGTGACAATTAATCAAAACCACAGCATCTGAGGGATGTACTTGTGACAGAAGTCTAAGCTATCTTTCTGAGTTGGATGCCAAATTAGGAACTGATTGAAACTATTGCCTTCCAGTAATGAAAATGATGGCTATAAGTACTTATTTGCACATACTGAAAAATATTAAAACTATTCTAAATAAAGGAAACATCAATGACTAACCAGGGATCCTTGATTGGGATGCAATTTTAAATCCAGCTGCACATACAAGTCCACTTTGTAAATTTCCCTCAAAAGTTGAGTTTGTCATTCAGTTCTTTCTTGTCTTCATTTGTAAGTTTCAAGAACAGTACACATTGCCACAAATGCCACTGTAGCCATCTACAATGGAAAGTGATGAATGGGGGCACTGGGAGATAACATTCACTCCTGCTATGTTCCTAACAAGTGTAGATGGGGGGCTTTTTGTTTGTTTGTTTAATTGTTTCATCATTAACATGTGCAGTTAAATTGAAAGGCAATTTTAGGGTCTTTTGTATTCAGTGTACACAAAATCAAAGGTATACATTATTGAATTATGAATTAGTTGTGCCTAAACAAATCTTTGGGGGGATAAAGGAGGAAGGAGTGTAAATACATATGTAAAAATAACCTCCCTACTTGAACTGCCTATTTAAATTTACACTGGTGTTTCCATGAAAGTGAGGGCATGAAACCATCAAAGAGCCCCACCCTGAGCCCATCTGTGGTCTCAGGGGTCCCACTGCTCCTTCTCTACACCCTCAAGGACATAGAGCTCATTTACAAGCCACTCCTAAGGAGCAGCTAATAATTATAGCAAATCTGCAAAGTTACTCGATGGGTTTGTGACCTGGTCACGAGCTAAGACCTCCAAACTCATTTCACTTGTGACCTGAGAAGGATTTCAGTGCAGACCTCTGGAGGGGGCAGCCTGGAGCATGAGGACACCACAGCACCAGCCAGGCTCTTAATTATGAGCTCTTGTTGCATAGGATGTTGAAAACAGCAAAAGAAATCCAGAGTTTTGCCTAAAAATAGGACGTTTCCTGCTAGGCCAAATTTGCTGTTTAAAGAATTTAGGTATTTTATGTTTAATTATTTCATGGTCTATATATTTATTTACAAGATGATGAGAATGGCAAGTCATAAATATACAAGATATTTTTACTAGTTAGTTTGGATTATACATAAATATGCTGTGCAAGCGTAGCAAAAACCATTTTCCCCAAGCTGAATCAGAATGTTCAAACTGAATTTTCAAATGTGTCTCTCTACCTTATCTAAATTCCAACATGACATATAATAAATAGCTTCTCATTTACCACGATCATAAAAATTTAAACAGCCTTGAAACAGTTGCTGCAATATAGGGGGAAATGATCAAATCTATGTTCCAAACACCCACTTAGAACAGTAAAACTATTTTGATATTTAAGAAGCAGTACATAAAGATGCAGGAAAGGGTTTTACCTTATTAAAAAAAAAAAAAAAACAAAAACAACAAAAAATAAGGTTCTACCAAATATAGGAGTATTAGAGTCAACAATTTGCTGTTTTACACTGCACAACAAGGACTAACAGCCCTTACACATCATGTAGTGTCAGATTTGCTTTTAGAAAGAAACTATCTGGTTTGATTCTATACAGTGATTAAACATCTTTGTGCTCTGCTGAGTAGGGCATTCTCTCCCCTCCCCCCTCCAAAAACGGCATCAAAGCAATCAAAATGGTAATTTCAGCATGAATGGGGCCCCATCCCCCACCGGCAAACTCCGCAGACTTTTCTCCATGTTAGGAGCAACCAACACCCCTTCCTCACAAAATGGAAGCTTCCACTACCAAACTGAGAGTGCTGACCAATTCTCATTACAATAAACCTGGGAGAAAAAGGGGTGGCGTGCAGCCGTGGCCCGCAGGCACGCCGCACGCAGGCACTTGGCAACTTTAAGCACAACTCCGGCAAAGCAAAACAAATCACAATTAAAAAAAAAAAAAAAGGGAAGGAAAGAAAAGAAAACCAAACAAATAAAAACAAACAAAAAAGAGGGACGGGGGAGCAGCACACGTGCCGCCTCTCGCCGGGAGGGTGTGAGGGAGGCGGGGGGGAGGCAGGGGCGGCTGAGGGCGGCTGTGGGCGCTGTCCCCGGGCGCGGTGCTGAAGGCGGAGGCCGCGCTCGGCCCGGCACGGAGCGGGGAGCCCAGCAGCCCAAAGGCCACCCGGAAAGTTGGACAGGGGGGAGGCTCGGGCCGGTAGCTCTGCCGCTGCTTTCCCAAGTGCCTTTCCCGCCGGGAAGTGCCGGGAGAAGGGCCGGGAAGCCGCGAGGGCAGCGGCGCTGTCCGCGGTGCTGAGCCCCCCGGAGCCCCCGCCGCTGAACTTTCCTTGCGGGCCCCGCTCGGCCCAGGGGTCACCGGCACAAAAACAAAACTTTGGCAAGGGCGGGAAGGGGAGGAGGCAGGGGGGAAGGTTCCTGGGTTGTTTTGTTCCTCTCCTCCGTTTTTGGTGGTTTTTTTCCTCCCCCCTCTCCCTGGCTGCTGAAGCGGGTTAATCTGGTTTTATTCGTATTTTTTTTGGAAGGGGTAGGAAAAAAGTGAAAGTGCCTAAGTGAACTCGAATCAAAAGGCAACACGTCAGATCAGACCAAGGGAAGAGAAAGGCAAGTGGGGAGGGGAAATAAAAAAAAATAAATAAAAAAAAAAAGAAAAGAGAAGAAAAGAAAAGAAATAAAGTGATCAATAAAAATCAGTTTTGTAATTAAACCCAGAAATGGCTCCAAACGGGGCTCCCGCCTCCTCCTTCCCAACTCTTGCTCTGCACATTACACAGAAGTGCACAAAGTAGCCCAAGACAGGAGAATTTTCCATATTCCTAAAACATGTCGACCAACTCAAAATGGACGCCTCTTTTTTTTTTTCTTACGTTTTAACTACTGCTTATCTTTTTACTGCTAGTACTGAAATAATTCTTTCCCCCAGCAAGACATCAGAGAATCCGACCTCATTATCAAAACATGCATTTTCTGACTGTATGCAAAAGAAAATGGATGTTATATCCCCTGCCGCCAGTATTTTTCAGCTAACGCAGACACTTTTCGGATGTTTAGATAGTGCATCATAAAAACAAGAAGAAAAACCAAGCACAACTGAATCGATCTGTTCCTTACTTGTTTCTCATTAAGAGCTGCTATTCTTGATTGCCTTTCATGGATTTGTTTCTTAAGATCCCCGTTCTGCAAAAACGGCAACAAGACGCATATTAAAGGCAAAGTGCAAACTAACCCCGTGATGAATAAACTTGCAAGCTAGAAATTGTTCAAAGGCAAAAACCATTCCACCGAAGCCGTACAGAAGCATGCACACACAAAACACCCTCCTTAGCAAGAAAGCTCAGTGCAGACTACAAAATGAGATCTCTTACTGATAAAGTTTCTCATCCTGCTGTCCCAGCACAACTGCGCTTATTACGGCAGGGATAAAATACTGAAGAAGAGAGAAAAAAAAAAAAAAGGATCTGCATTTACCTGTGGATCTTGCTTCATCTGTGCAACTAGTTTCTATTAAAAAAAAAAAAAATCGCCCCGCAAAAAAGGAGGAATTAGAAACTGTTTCAAGTTTAATGGATTTTTTTAAATGTATGTATGTGTGTGGACGGGGGAGGGAGGGGGGTAAGGAACAAAGAGGCAAGTAAACACTGCGAGTCAGTTTCAAGCAAAGCTCATAAATATTCAAGTCTCGTCCTAATCTCTCCAACACACACACACACACACACACGCACACACGCACTCTCTCTCACACTCACGCACACTCACACGACTGCAGCGTCGACTCCGCGTCTCCACGGCACCCACACACACAAAAAACTCAGCCAAAGAAGCCGCCAAAGTACTTTGTGGGAGTGCTCGCCATTGCGGCGGGGAGCCGGGG